TTTTTTTTTTTTTTTTTCATTTCATAAATTTTATTCATTTCATTAAAAAAACAAAATTTTATATGCAATAAAAAACAAACAGAACGAAATGAAAGGAAGCAGAGAGAAGAACAAAAATCTTATATCTGCCCCTTTTTTCCTCAATTCAAACAGTAATCTTTAGTTAACAAAGCAAAACAAGAACATTGAATTGTTCTAGAACAACAAATTATATAGTTACACATTATACTGTTTCATAGTTTTTCAACAATCCAACCTTTTTGTTCTTTTTATGAAAGCACCTGTTGTTGGTACCTCAGAGAGATCCCCAACATACAGTGACTGCTAACTAATCATGCAGAATCTATATAACAACTTTTAATTGTTTGAGTCAGCTTTGTTTGTTAGCTAAGTATCTCATAAACCACTGAAGGAATTTTAATGGAACTCTAACTTTTGAAATCCGTCTAATTCAGTATGGCCACTACAGCTCATCAACCTCATTACAACACAAAAAGGACTCCAATCATTCACAACACACACTGTAGCAGTGTGATTTTCAAGGTTTGACCAAAACAACCATCTTAATTTAAATCTCTGGCATGGTAGGACGGTGGGCAACAGGCATTTCTGTAAGTAATGCTAGTAGGGCTGCAAGGTATGAGGAAAACCTGCAATGTGCGATATTAGTGATTAATATTGGGATGACATTATGACTTGTAATAAATGAAGAAATACTTAAGTACGCAGTGTTGATGTCTTTCTGCAACTAATACATCGTTTCCATTCCAACATGACAGTTTTAATTTAAAGTGCAGCTAAATTCTGTCATCCTGTCTCTTCTCAGCAGTGATGACCCTGACCATGGGCCGGTGGTCAGAGACTTCACTGAATGGTGTGAATCTTATTTTTTACAGTTGAACGTTTCAAAAACTAAGGAGATGGTCATTGATTTTAGAAAAGACTTTTTGGTTGCCACTCCTGTGGTTATTAATGGTGAAGCTGTTGAGGTTGTGAACCAATATACACTTAACAAAAATATAAACGCCCCATGTCAAATACAAGATTTTTATGAACATTTGTGTTACACAACATATAGAGAAACTCAAAATATATTCTCAGTAACTACTGATCTTCATATCGGCATTGATAACATTGTGGTATGGCCATTTGTAGCGGATTGACATTCCTTTGAACATGATAGGTGTCAGGTTGAGGAATTTGATTTTTTCAGTTTCGTATGTGTCCGCCAGCTGTGTCTCTCAGAGCAACACATCTTCACATGGAGTTGATCAGATTGTCTATGGTGGCCTGTGGAATGTTATTCCATTCCTCCTGGAGTACCACGTGAAGCTGACCCACATTGCCTGGAACTGGAACACGGTCCCGGACATGCCCATCCACAACATCCCAAAGATGCTCTATTGGGGACATGTCTGGTGAATATGCAGGCTAGTCCAGAACTTCAATGTCCTCTGTTTGAAGGAATTCCTTGCAGTTACTGCTCTGGTAGACATCCCTGCATTCAACATGCCAATGGCACGCTCCCGCATTACTTGCGTCATCTGAGGCATTATGAAATGTGACAAAATTGACATTTTGGGGTGGCCTTTTATTGACCCCAGTCTAAGGATTGTCCAGCTGTTGCTCATTTTTTCTGATCACCCACTGGACATGCACTGAGTAAAAAAACAACTTACTGAGTACTGCTCACTGACAGCAAGTTTTAAAAATAAGAATTATACACAAATCAAGAGAAATATTACGTTTGTACAATAAAATGTCAGCAAATGCTCATTTACTGTTGTAAACTCACCATGGCAAAAATATTTGACATTGGGCGTTTATATTTTTGTTAAGTGTAAATACCTTGGAACTGTTTTGGATGACAAACTGAACTTTGATGCCCACTTTAACTTAGGCCAGCGTCACACTACAAGAAAATCATGCCGATTTTTGCCCTTCCTACAATCTTAAGGAAGTCCAGATTATCGTGATGGGTCTAAAGATAATCATAGCAGATATTCCTGCTGTGGGTGGTGAGTTAAGAGTGATCTAGTCGGCTCGGAAGGACTTTGGGACTGCTCCGACCTCCAATCTGGGATATTCAACGTTTGCTTTTTTTGGCCCAATATCACAGTGTGTGTATGTTCACCCGAGCTCTCAGACTGATGAATGAGACGTGTAGCCAATCAGAAAGGGAGGTGACGCAAACAAAAACTGTCATGACTCACCAGAAAGTCTGTTGGATGTTAAAAGTCCTATGGAATTGTTTTTCCTCTGGTAAAAATTGTCCACAGACAATCAACATTGTTTCTTTCTTGTTGCAAATGTTTATTTACTCTGAACTCACGTCTCTCTGGAGGTCACATGAGATTTTTCCTCGGACATCTGAATTCTCGCAAGATTTCAGGAAGTCTCACATGATTTAATATCTGACAGTTCATGAATGAAATCTTCTTTTCGTGTGTGGTGTGTTGTCTCTTGCAGTGTGGCTGTTCACCACTCACTGTAGGACCAAACCTGGTAGATCCATGATTTTTTTATCCTCATGTGTGGGCTCTTTCAGTCTTTGAAAATCGGCCGACTGGTTTAAAATCTTGTAGTGTGACTCAGCCTTTACTATGTAAGAAGGCCCATCAGAGGATGTATTTTTATCGGAAGCTCTGTGGTTTTAATGTTGATTCTACCTTTATGAGAATGTTTTATTCGTGTTTTATTGAGTCTCTTTTAAACCTTTACTTTTACCTGTTGGTATGGCATTTTAACATGTAAGAGTGTAGGAGATACAAGAGCAAAAACAAACTCTTGGGGATTGTCAGGATGTGCAGCAGAATTGCTAGAATTGACCTGCAAAATCTCACTGACTTTACACAAGGTTAGGTCAGTGAAAAAGGCCAGACTGATTCTGGCAGACTCTGATCACACACTCCATGGTGAGTTCAGGCTGCTCCCGTCTGCACACAGATACCAGTTGACCAAATGTAGGACAAATAGATTTAAAAACTCATTTATCACAGCAGCAGTTAAAGTTCTCAACAGACATCTGTGATTTTTGTGTATGAATGTTTTTGTTTAGTTGTTTTTATGTCTGTTGGCTGTACAACAAATTGCCCCTTGGGGATAATAAAGATCTTGAACTTGAACTTGAACTTGACTCTTGACTAATACTGCTGTATTAACAGTGAAACAACAAACTGCATGCAGCACAGTTTCTTTAAAGATTTTAAAACATCGCCCCATGAAACATTTTCTGATGCTCTAAACCAGGGGTGTCAAACTCATTTTCACCGAGGGCAACATGAGCATTATGGTGGCCCTCGAAGGGCCACTTGTAATGAGCTTTGATGTTTCATGTTTAACTTTGACTAAACAGTTTTAACACGTCCTCTTTTAAACACTGATAAGAACTAAGTGAATGACTGACTAAATCTGTAATAAATATTAAAAGTAAAACAAATAATTTTTACTCACATGAGTTTCTAGTGAGTAGCTGCATTATGGCAGATTTAGTTTATGTTTGATGGTGACTTTAAAGCAGCTTATTTTCAGACATTAATACTGTGCTATCCAACTAAATTGCTCAGTTACTTAAAGCCAACAGCTCAGGAACAGGAATTTTTTAATTTATTTTTATTTCATTTATTTTTATTAAATAAATTTTGTGGCATTTAACCATAAATTTAAAGTTTACCATTGATATAAGTTATGTTCAGTTAAAAAAAAAGATAATTTTGGCGGGCCACACGGGAGTCATGTGGCCCGCGGGCCTTGTATTTGACACACGTGCTCTAAACACTGAAAATCCCCCATTACTATCAGATTTTTAATAAATAAAAACATCTCAAAAAAGTTGAATAATTAAAAATAAAATTTAACATAACTTAAATCCAACTGTAAATCCTCTCGTTGCAGTTGTCCAGCAGTTTTTCTGGTCCATTTTGTTTATCAGACTGAAGCCGACAAAATGCATAAATGCAAACATTTGAGTCAAACATTTATTGCAGTTGATGCAGTTTCTTGTGATTTGCCTTTTGCACAGCTAGGTCTTCAATTTAAAAAAGTTTTGGTTGACTAAAGGTCACAACACTCAGCCTGCTATAAAAACAAAGGATAATCATGCACTACATTTATTCTTCATGTCATCTGTACAATCAGCATGCTTTTTGGGGCGGCTGTGGCAGAGTGGTTTGGGGAGTCGTCCTGGAACCGGAAGGTCACTGGCTCGACCCACTGTCCAGCTGTCTCAGTTGTTGTGTCCTTGGGCAGGACACTTCACCCCTAATGCCTCTGATGTGTGTCCCATCAGTGTATGAATGTGATTGGCACTGATTAGCCTCCATAGATGATTGTATATGTTAGCTTTGTACCTAATAGAGTGCTGTGTGAATGGGTAAATGAAGACACAGATTGTAGTGTGAAGCACTTTGAGTATCCTGGATGGATGGAAAAGCGCTATATAAGTACAGTAGTATAAGTACAGTCCATTTACCATTTTTCTTTTCATAATGAATCAAGCCCATGTCTTTATTCAGGGGCAGAAGAGGTTCTGTTGCTTGCTCGAAGAACGGACCTGAGGAGAATCTCTCTTGACCTGCCAGATTTTACTGACATAGTTCTTGAGGTAAACCCACACACGCTCCGCTCAAACTGGTTTTGTTTGAGTGAAATTCTCTGTTTATTAAGTTTCCTCTACTCATGCAGGTTGGTGACATCCGCCATGCCATAGCTATAGACTACGACCCAGCTGAAGGCTTTGTCTACTGGACGGATGACGAGGTGCAGGCCATCCGGAGGTCTCACATTGATGGGAGGAATGCTGTGGTGTTGGTTTCCACAGAGCTCAAACACCCTGATGGGATTGCTGTGGACTGGGTGGCCAGAAACCTTTACTGGACAGACACTGGCACTGATCGGATTGAGGTATGTCCAAGACTGTCACATGTCTGGTTTTGTTTTGTCCCGGTTTCGTGGACTGTCTGTGTTGCAGTGTGTGTCTTAGTTGTAAATATTTGTTTCTTATTTTACTTAACATGTCAACCAAACTTACTGCTGTTTGTTCTTATTGTTTGATTAAATGACCATCCATCTTTACATGAACAGTATTATTTATTTATTCTTTTTTGTAATATCATGACAATATAGGTTACCAGGCTGAATGGAACTTTTCGGAAGATTTTGATTTCGGAGAACCTTGATGAACCTAGAGCTATCGTTTTGGATCCTGTGAATGGGTTAGTGTCAAAGATTATACAGTATTTATTTATTTATTTGTTGGAGAGTTTGTGGCTCTTTATCTAACTAAAGGAAACATACAGGTACGGTACTTGGATTTAATAACTTTGAGATAATTTTTTATTTCAGCACCAAGGTACAGTTAGAGAATAAAATTAATCTATTTTCCATCTTTAGAAGTAGTTATAAAATGTTACGATGATGCTAAAAATATAAAAAATGAAATCATGTTAAGCTATTTATTTGAAACCTTTTTTTCATTCTGAAGCCAATGATTAGTTGAATCACCTTCTGATTTAATTCCAACCACACCTTGATACAATAATAAATTATCCACTTTTCCTTAAAGTTCAAATCCGTCAAATTGTGCAGACATCTCTTGTGCACAGACTGCACTGGATCACCACATAGCTTGATGTCCAAACTCTGGTTAGGACTTTACAAAACCTTTGCTTTCTTTTGGTGAAGCTGTCCTTTTGTTGACCTTGATGTGGCCGTTTTGAAAATACGAAATTTCCCTTCAGTTTTCTAACAGACGTCTGAAGTTTTAGACCAAAATAAACAGATATTTGAAACTTTATAAGTCCATCCACCTAGACTAAAACCCCAGTTCCAACTGAATTGACCCCACAACATGTAGCTGCTTCCGCTGTGGTTTACTGTGGATATAGTTTTTTTTTTCTTTTCTTTTTGGTGATCCACAGTCTTGTTTCTGTGCCCCCCGTGCAGGTGTTTTTTTTTGTTTTTTTTCAGGTGCTCTGGTTTCCTACCATGAGACAAAACACAGATATTAGTTTCATTGGTAACTCTAAATTGTCCCTAGATGTAAGTGAACGTGTGAATGGTTCTAACCATCTCTGTCTCTGAGATGGACTGAGACCTGTTTAGGATGTAAGATGGGCCCTCCACTTCCCCTCGACCCTGCATAGAAAAGCGGGTAAAGAAAAGAAAGAGATGGTTTGTGTTTAACAAAATGTAATGAAGGTGAAGACTTTAAAATTCACTCTAAACAGGAGAAATTACTAACTGTACTTAACAGCGGCTCCGAGGATACAAGCTCTTACCTTGATGGTGATCTAACTTCTCTCTCCCCTCATTTCTTCCGTCTCGCACAGTTACATGTACTGGACCGACTGGGGTGAGCATCCTAAGATCGAGCGAGCAAACCTGGATGGAACCGACAGGGTGGTCCTGCTCAACAGTTCTCTTGGCTGGCCCAATGGACTCGCTCTAGACTACGAAGCAAGAAAGCTTTACTGGGGAGATGCTAAAACGGACAAGATAGAGGTACATCTCTAAGCTTTCTGCGCAGCATCTACGTATTCTTTTTATTTTGAGCTGCTAGATAATTTTAAGAAATATGAACTGCATTAAAAAAGACAGAGTTTGGCAAATGTCACTGCTGAAAATTACCTCTAGATAAATTACCCTTTCTGTGGAAATGTATGAATGCTAAATGACTTTGTTCTTTGTTGAAGCTGAAAGTTGTTAAAGCTAAAGCTATTAAGTGGGCGGTACACACAGCAGTATTCTGCATTCTCATTGGTTGAAACACATTAGAACCTACATAGTCTGATTGGTTAAGGAGGTTGTCCATCTTTCCTCTCCTATATTATTTCTTTTAGAGGAACCTTCATTTTATGAGAGTTCATCAACTTCACCGCAGTCTGTTCGACTGAGAATTCCTACTGCATCTAGCAGTAAAATTCAGACCCTTGTCCTTCAATTTGCTTCGTATGAGGGTCTGGACTCTCTGCTATAGAGAAGCGATTCTTGCTGGAGGCGTGGCCTCTGTTCAAGTTTAAAATGATTGGATTGGTTGGCCGTGACGTACAGTATGTCGCTGTGAAGGAGGCTAAGCTAAGAAGCTAACCGGAAATCGCGTGCGCTGTAAACAACCTTACTGAGAGGAGAAAAGTACCGAGCTGAACGAGACGGCTGTAAATGAGAGCTGCTGCTTTGTCAGACAAATTTAATTTAATTCGGAAGCCCTATCAACACAGACTGGCTTCATTCACTTCCTCCACTGCCATTGCTAAACTAGCAGACACTGCGCAGAAAATCGACGTCGTTCAAAACTCCTCCTTCTGTTTGCTGATTGGCCCAGGTAAAATAAACTACAAGCAGACACTGTGCAGAAAATCAACAAAGTTCAAAACTCCGCCTTCTGTTTGTTGATTGGCCCAGGTAAAATAAACTACAAGCAGACACTGTGCAGAAAATCAACTTTCTGTTCTCTGATTGGCCTGGACGAAAATTCTCCTGAAGAAATCCTTGTCTATGGGAGAAATCCCAGACGGAGCAGTGAAGGGAAACTAGAATTGAGCGGAGCTACGTAGGAAGGCAAGGGTCAAGGCTAAGTACCTCATAAAAATGCATCTAAATTCAGATTTTACACGGCAAAAATCTCCAGCTGCCGGGCACTTTTGAACCCGATGCTGTATAATACATATATTTAGGCCTTTACTTCATTAGCACCTGTCGTGGTCAAAACAAAAAGGGGCAGGAAGTGTTAGGGATGTAAGGAAATATCGATACACTGAAATATCGCAATATTTTATTTCCCGATACTGATTCTATTATCTAAAGCCCTGTATCAATTTTTAATTAAGGTTTAAAATGTCAATTTTCCTACCAAGGGTTCATTTTAATGTTGTAGTTCAGCCTCTGACCCCTGGTTGGCAGTAGTGAGCTAGCCATGTGGCTCCTCCACTCCTAAGGTGCCAGAGAGTAATGATAGCATTAGCATTGTGAGTAAACATTAGCTTCATGCACCGATAGCGAATCTGAACGGAAAAGACCGATACCCTCTGCCTTCTAAGCTGAGGTAAGGTTACGAACAGTTTCTTATTTGTCAGAATGCCTCTATTTTAAGCCAAATTAAGTGATTTGTGCGCTCTTTTTTCCAACTATAGTCAGCCATCACGTTACAGAAGGCAGGCAGGCATGCGTCTTGCTCCTCGAGTTTAGGCGCTCCCCACTCAAGATGCCCCGTGACAAAAAACTTTGTCTGCTGCTCTCATTGTCCAGCTGATTGTGTCCAAGTCCTTATACTTTAAGTTTTTCCTGCCGTGTTTGTTTCAAAAATGGTTTTGTTGTAAAAGATTTAGCTGTGTTGTTTAGCTTCTCCATTTCTTTACTGGTTTTCTTCGGGACCTGCCCTGCTGTACTGTATATGACTTAGACCCACTACTGGTATGCAAATCACGTTCTGAGTGCAGGTCAGCTGATCCCAGAAACTCTGTGCAGCAGCTTCTTATCATTCGTTTACTGAACTTTATGACAACATATAGGCTATTGTTAAGTGTGTTGGGTGACAGTATTGTTATAGCAAATTAATATTAAAATCTAAAAGCTGCCACAAATATATTTTAAACTATGTATTAGCAAATTTAGTCTAATAATTGAAAACATGGATGAAATAAGAAATATGAAACTAATAAAAGACATACAAAACAAACTGAGTTTTTATTTAATAGAATTTTTGATAAAAAAAAATCGCAATATATCTCCTTGCCTTCAGTATCGCAATATATTGTGATATATCGTATCATGACTTCTCTGTTATGATATGTATCATATCGCCAAATTCTTGCCAATACACGGCCATAGGAAGAGCCCAGCTTGATTATTTTTTAATTAATTACAAAATAAATTTCAAGTAGAACAACCAGGGATGAGACAGATCCAACCAGCTTAATTAGGTCTGTGGCTGCATTTAGGCACAAGAAAGACCACTATCAAAGATTTTACAGTTTAACTCCTACCCACTTAGATTATTTGCACCCAAAACATTAAGGTTTGTTTGTGTTCCTGTTCAAAAACACTCCTCTAAAAAACTACAAACATTCACTATTCAGATCGCTCAGTAACGGAGGACGTCGGGTGGTTACCCCTTGTTGAACTCCCCTTCCCCCATGGCAACATTTTCCATGTCTCTTTTCTATTTCATTTGTCACACTGTTTTTCACTTAAAGCTTTTATTTTCCCACCAACATTTTCTCTGTTATTTTTCAGATTTTGTTAGTTGTAATGTTTCAGTGATTGCTGTGGCGTTCTTGTTGCTGGGTAACCTTATTTTTAACCATTTGCTTGTGTTCGCACACTTTATGGTAGCATAGAGAGGAAGGGAGTGCAACAAAACAGTTTTCTGGCTGAATGCTCAGCAACTAAAAAAGGATGGCTCCTCTAGCTCACCCTTTCTCCCACCCTTTGTCAAACTGAAAGGACCCATCTCAAGGGTCTTTGGGGGGATTTTTTTCTACAATTTAACCTTTTTTATCCACTTTATTCCTACTATTCACCATGCCCTGCATAAATATTGGACGTAACTTCCAGTCAGCGCATTTTCCTAAATTTTTGTTACGGAAACCTTCTTGCTCAGATTGATTACAGACCAAGTTAAATTCCTAGCATTTATTGAAGGAGCATTAACGCTAGATAAATTTGTACGAATTATACCCACCACTTTTCATACCAGTGTTATGCCAGGTCCACATTAGGCTATATTCTAAAGTTAATCAGATGTAGTTCTAGTAATCACTTCCTGAAAGTTTTAATAAATGTTGTCAAGTTTGTAAGACGTTTTAATAACTCACACAGACATAGTAAAAGTGTGATAAATTGATAACTTAATTAATTTGACCATAGGCCTTTTCACTGAATTGTTTCATGAAAGGGCCTAAAATGCACTTGAGCATGACTCAACCTCAAGGCGTCATATTATGATAATTATTATGACATTAACATGGTTCAGATCCAGCTGAGTTGCATTTTTGTTGAATTATAGGTTAATTATCTAACTGACATGATTTAAGGTAAAAAAAAAAAAAAAGCACTTTTTTTTCACTTCAGCTGTCCATATTGGTTCACCTCAGTTCAAGTTGAAGGTCTTACATCAAGGATTGAGACATATTGTTGTTCAGACTATCAAACAAATGAAGACTCAAGTGTTCTAGTCAACCTCAGATGGTTGGTTGTTCGAGTCAAAACAAAACACTGTGTTTTCTTAGTATAGAACCACTCACAAAGGCGTACAGTGAAAACAGAAGAGGGCCTAAAACTGAGCCTTGTAGGACTCCCCAAAAAGAGTATGTTTTTTGTGATAGTAGCAAAATTTCAGTCTTCCATATTGGCCCGTATTATGGTTCATTCACACATGTATTTAGTGCGAGATCACAGTCTGGTAACTGAAGAGGATTAGTGCAAGAAATGTGAGCAGGACCTTCTGGACTTTTTGAGTACAGAAACACTACATACATGTCACCCAGGCACACACACATTCGCATTCTGTTGCACAGATTGGAGACAACTTTGTGTTTTCTCCTCACTAACAGCCCTTTAATTCTGATCTTTTTTTTTCTATAATCAAGCAGCCCTACTTTGACCTTTTTTGGTTCTTTCTCTTCACTGAAATCTGAGCCTTCCTCCACCTTCCTGACTGTGGAGGGGGTAAAAGGCATCTAAAATTTCCACTAGAGTTGCTTTGACACGTGTTGCTTTGTGAAGTGTTTGCACACACTCGGATACATATAAAAGTGTTGGATTTGTTCAGTTACAGTGTTGAGGCACGTGATAAATCTGTGTGTGTGGAGGGCGGGGGTTATGTGTGAAGTGATATATAAGTAGATTTATATCCTGGAATTTCCCCTGCTCAAAGCCTCAGACCTTGCTTCAGTAGCTCCTGTACTTACTTGTGTTTTAGTTCTGCAGCTCCAGCACAAAATGTTACGTTAACTTGTGGGGAACTCAAAATTGAGAGGAAACTTGAAGAAAATCCATATATGTCTAGTTACAGTCACATTGATTTTGCTCCAAGTACGCATTTGTGATGTTTGTGTTGGGAATTCTGGCAAAAAGCTGAAAGACGATCATGTTTTTGTCTGTTTTAGTGTGTGTAATTACTAGACATATATCAACAACTGAGTAAGTTTTGGAGTAATTTCAGTTCAAAATAGCTGCCACAGCTAATTACTCTTTATTAACGAGTTTGATTTGACTTCTAAAAGAGTTGTTAGATTTAAAAAGTGGGAAAGGGAGGACTAGTTTGTGACATTTGCTTTTTTTTATCCCCTTCTGTACCAAACTGTGATTTAAGCATACAGTTACACCCTTACCCAGCAGACATAATTTGAGAAAAGTATAGGAACATAAAATAACTTGTGACTTCACAGCTAATTATGACAACCTTAGTCTAAAAAAACTCTGGCATAAAATGTGACAAGTGATTGAAAATGGAAACAAGTTGAAGCTCGAGTCAAAGCAGATCCCAGTTCACGTCTGATTTGTCTTCGAGGTTGGGGACGGGCTCTTTCTGTTTTTTTTTTTCTGTTTTTTTTTTTTTACTCTGTACTTTTCAATATGTTTCCTGGTGAATCTCCATGTGTGAGCGTATGCAAACTGTCCTGTGACGGTCTGACTTCTCCCTGCGTGTCCACAGAGATCTTTGTTACTTTTCTGTTTGCTTTCCTTTCTGTTTTTGTGTTTTTGTACCTCGCTTGTCCATCAAGAAATGATTCATTCTTGCTAACAAAAAAGCGTTAGACTGTGGGAGAGAAAATCCCCATCTCTGTGCCTAATTCTTGGTTTAACAAAACAAGCTAAGATAAAGAGTGAGTATGAGAGAAAGGGAGGCAGGAGAAAGGGAGTCCCTCTGCATCTTTTCACTCAGATAGCCATGTCTAATGTTGTCACTTTGATGAATGAATCGGTTCTTTTGAAGGGTCAGGCTCCCCTTTGGATCGGAGGCCCATCAAAGTGAATGTTGTTCTGTTTGTTCACCCCTGTCCCTGAATGGATATTTAAATGAGCCTTTACAAAGTAAAAACTGGCATTCACAGCTGTCCGTCACAGCATCAACACCATTAGTCCACATTCACATTTTCTACATCTATGTTGAATCGAACAAAAAAAAAAATCACTTTGCAATATTGTGAATGCCTAAGTTAATGTTGGATGACTAAATAAATGTGTATATCGCTCGCCACCTTTCAAACCAGAATTTAAAAATAAAATCATTTTATCGTGAGAACTAATGAATTTGCAGGTGTTTCAGTGAAACAACCAAACCAAAACAAACAATCTTATGAAATAATATGGTGTGATCTGTTAACTATCGTTTGTGTTGTCTCACCAAATTTTAGCTCACTGAAACTGATTGAGTTATACCCTCGTTTGTGTTTTCAGAGGTCAGTTAATTGAAGCAGGCACCTTGAATCAGGGATTCAAAAGGACCAAAAGGAGTCACCTAATGATTATTTTCTAAGTTTTATTAAAAAAATATCCAGGGGTTCTTGATATATTTTACTACCAAACCATGTTGATGCAAGGAGTTAGTGGTAACATGTTAAATAAAGCTCTGCATAATCAGTGTGCAGTGTGTGTATCAAGTAATACTGCACAAAGGTTTTAGCCCGATATCTGTTCTATATTATAGATATTTTTGTATTACCTAAGGTCAGCTAGCTTTGGCATCCATCGTGAAATGGTAAAAAAGAAAAATTGCATATTTCAGTTAGAGCTATAACATCCAAGAAGTTTGTTGGATTGAATCCCACATGAGGACCTTTCTGGGTGCAGTTTGCATGTTTTCTCCAGGCACGTGTGGGCAGTCTTGTATAAAGTACTTCAAAGTAATACTTGAGTCAAAGTACAAGCATCTTACCAGAAAATTATTTTGGTAAAAGTTAGTCTTCTCTAAGAATATTACTTGAGTAAAGGTATTAAAGTATCTGATATTTACTGTACTTTAGTATCAAAAGTAAATTTTTTACATAATATGTGCTTAAGTATTCAGTAAAAGTGAGCAGATTGTACAAAATAGCATTTATTGCAAGGTGACCCCCCTAAAAGGGTGTCAAAATGGTTTATATTTATACTTCTCATCCAACCAGTTAAATTTACTCTGTCTGGACAGGATTTTTTTTTTTTTTACAATAACAAGCCAGAATGAAAACAAGCAAAGATGAAATAACAACTTTCTACTTCTTACTTTTTAAGATGTAAGGTAAGAAAGTACAAAAAAGAAAGTACAGATTATTGTGTGAAATTGTAAGGAGTAGAAGTAAAAGGTAGTCTGAAAAATAAATATCCAAGTAAAGTATAGATAACCAAAATTTCTAAAGTAAATAAACAAAGTTTTTTTTCCTTCTGTTGCTTTACAGCTCTGTGCATGTTAATTTTCCAGGTACTTCATTTTCCTTCCAGTTCCACAGACCAAAAACATGAATGTTAGGCTAACTGGTAACTAAATAGTCCCTTGGTATGAGTGAGAGAATAGTTGTTTGTCTCTGTGATGAACTGGAGACGTGTCTAGGTTGTACCTTGTCTCTCACTGAATGACTGCTGGACATGGGCACCAGTGACCCCAAATAGAATAAGTGGGTAAAAATAATGAATGGACGCTAGTTTCATAAAATATGTTCATCAATTTTTGACAGATTCAGTCCAATTCAAGATGGCTGCTACATCTAATTAACCTTACCAGCTTAAAAATGGCTATAACTCAGTCAATGTTACAGATGCTGAGCTACAAATGAATGTGGTAGTACTTGAGAGTCATTCAGAGGAGGCTTTAATCACAGGAGTGAACCCTCTGGTGTGCTTATTTGCATTAAAATTAAAACAAATTTAAGTGCCATCCAGTCCTACAGTAATAATAAGATTATTAAGTTCAAGTTTATTTATATAACGCCAAGTCACAACATACGTTGTCTCAGGGCATTGTACATAAAAAGAATAAAGAAGAAACCAGCAGGCTGCGTTGAGTCACTTCATCACAGTCTCCCATCCTGAGCAAAGGTTGGAGAGGAAAAACTCCCTGCTWATCAGGAAGAAACCTCCAGCAGAACCAGGCTCAGGACAGGCGGCCATCTGCCTCGACCGGCTGGTTGGAGGACGGGAAAGAGACACAGACAAACAGAGAAGAACTGGTCCAGGACTGGTCCAGGTGCACCTTCTTCTGGAAGAGACAAAGAAAAAACATGATAGAAATAATTACAATAAACATAGAGAAGAGAGACTAAAGACAACAGCAGAGTGAGGAAATGTGCTCAGTTTGTGCTCCAGCAGTCTAAGTCTATAGCAGCAGAAATGAAGAATAATTCAGGAAACCTAAGTCTAATTATAGGATTTATCAAAAAGGAAAGTCTTCAGTCTAAACTTAAAAGTAGACAGTCAGCCTCATGGACAGAAACTGGAAGTTGGTTCCATAAGAGGAACTTGATAACTGAAAGCTCTGCCTCCCATTCTACTTTTAGAAACTCCAGGAACCACAAGTAAACCTGCAGTCTGAGAGCGAAGTGCTCTGTTAGGAAAGTATGGAACAATAAGATGTTTAATATATGATGGAGATTGGTTGTTAAGAGTTTTGTATGTTAGGAGTAATATTTTAAATTCTATTCTGAATTTGACAGGGAGCCAGTGGAGAGAAGCTAAAACTGGAGAAAAATGATCTTCCAACTCTCATTAAAACCTTAGCAGCAGCATTTTGGATTAACTGAAGACTTCTTAAAGAGTTTTTTGGATGCCCAGATAATAAAGAATTATAGTAATCCAGTCCCCTTTTATTAGACATTGCATCCGTCTTTAAGAGGTATATAAATCTGACTATCATCTTTAAAAAAATGAAATGAAACACCGTGTTTTCTTAGTATGGAACCAAGCAGAAGTAGGTAAAGTGAAAACAGAAAAAGGCCTAAAATTAAGCCTTGTGGAACTCCACAAAAAATTGGATGTTTTCTGTGATGGCAGCAAAACTCAACTATTCAATAATAGTCCATGTTGTGATTTACTCGCATTAAATTCAAAATTTCAAATACAATTTTTTTTAAACTTTCCATTTTTTTTTGTCATTACATTTTTATGTTTTATTTTAAACTTTTTATTTTTTAATTTTTCTTCAGGTGATCGATGTGAACGGCAGTAACAGACAGACTTTACTTGAAGACAAGCTGCATCACATCTTTGGTTTTACGCTACTGGGTGATTACATCTACTGGACCGACTGGCAGAGGCGCAGCATTGAGCGTGTCCACAAAACCACTGCCGTGCGAGAGATCATCATCGATCAGCTGCCAGATTTAATGGGGCTGAAAGCTACTAAAGTCACACAGACATATGGTAAGACACGCTGAGGTTTCTGGAGCTTTTAAACAAATGTGCGAAGCAAAATAAAAGAAACAGTTAAAAAATGCTAAAATACATGAATGTGTTTCTAGGTACAAACGGCTGTGCAGTGGATAACGGAGGATGCAGCCATCTGTGTTTTTGGTGTCAGCAGGCAGTCCGCTGTGCCTGCCCCATGGGGCTGGAGCTCCTCTCAGACCTTAAGACCTGCGTGGTGCCTGAAGCCTTTCTGCTCTTCACCAACAGGTACGCCTTAAAGTCCCTGTGACATCAATTTTTTATAATAAATATGAATGTATTTTTGGAAAGATAACATTGTAAAAAAGATTTCATGCCGCTGAGATGACCAGTTGTTGAGATATTCCCATGTGAAGTAACAGGAAGTGCCGTCAAAGGGGAATATCTGAATGTAAACAGAGTGTTGCTAAAATGGCTAACAACACAGACTGGAGAGATGAATCAGATTTTTTTTTTCAGATTATTTTAATCACTATCATAGAGAGATGAGGAAGAGTCGTAGTTCAAATAATATTGTTTGAATAAACAAAGACCAGAGAGTTTTCTTTCTCAAAGAGTTCCCCTTTGATGTCACTTCCTGTTTCACTTTAGCTGAGCAAAATTCAAAAGAAATATGCCAGTTATGTGACATAGTGGGTCAAATCATGTGTATTATGCCTAGTGTCTTTAAATATAAATATATTGTCTTTGACTTTTTGTATTTCGTGAATATGCATGTCACAGGTACTTTAATGCCAGATTGTTTTCATCTTCACCTCTCTGTTTTTGTGTTTGTCTCTTACCAAATGATCTCATTTTATTACAACTTTTCTACAGCAAGCATTGGATGTACATCTTTAACTGGTTAACTTTTGGAGTCAACTTGATTCAATATGGCCACTAACAGTACAAGTAGCCGTATTTGTTCCTTCAAGAAATACTGGCCCCTCATTTTTTTAATATTTAGAATAGTAATTCCATTAGTTGATGATATAGATGCTTATAAAGTTATTTAATTTTATTTAAGTTAATAATTACAGTTTTAAAATATTAAACGATACAGTTTGTGTTTGGTGAACTGTATCTTTTGGCTCATGATCAACTTTTTGAACATCCTTGTTGTGACTTGTGATGACAATCCAAGCTTGTTTTTGTTTATTTTTTTAATTCTTGTCTTTGTTTCCATTTTATCTTCAGGGATAGCATTCGTAGCATTTCTTTGGGTACAAACAGCAATGACGTGGCCATTCCCCTGACTGGAGTCAAAGAGGCCTCAGCTCTTGGTTCCGATGTTTCTGAAAAGAGAATATACTGGACGGACATACAGGCAAAGGTGTGTCCAAGCTGCAGAAAAGAATTTACCTTTTTAAATGTATTGAAAGGAAAGATTATTTATTGTTTGTGTATTTCCGTTTGTCTTCCCTTCAGAAAATCAGCAGAGCGTATCTGAACGGCAGCTCTGTGGAACATGTCATAGAGTTTGGACTGGACTACCCAGAAGGCATGGCTGTGGACTGGATAGGTCGTAACATCTTTTGGGCAGACACAGGAACTAACCGCATCGAGGTGGCCCGGTTGGACGGACAGTACCGACAGGTTCTTGTCTGTAAGGACCTTGAAAACCCACGCTCCCTGGATAACCCACGATCACTAGCACTGGATCCAGCTAATGGGTAGGACACTTACTTAAAACACTGTGCTAACAAAAGATGCAAAACATTGAGCATTTGAAATTATTTTAACCCAAACTAGGGCTGCGCATTGTATGCTATAGACAGTAGAAACGGTATGAAGTTGGCCTATGGTAGAAATTTACCCTCTACTGTTCTGTCATCAGTTACGCCATCGCACCTGTGTCAACATGGCTGCAAGTGCAGAGACGACTGAGCAGGAGGAGTTCGAAATATTCTGAAAGTAAATGTATAAATATAGTGTTTTAAAACACGTATAGAGAAAATAAATCCTCAAAATTTCTCCCTCCCCATGTAGAAAAGTTACGTCGTGTCGCGGGATCATTTCCTCCCTCCCGCTGCACGTCACGCAGAGCGAAGCTTTAACAACCATAGTTTTTTTACACCCAAGTTGTCATAGAAAAAAACTTGTTTTTTTATGTATTGTTACCGACAGAGATGAAAAAAAGATGTGGATGTTTGTCCAGTCATAAATCCATCTTCAGTTCAAATGATAAATTCAACAGGCAGAAGCTCATGGTATGGCAGGCAGATATTACATTTATTTTGCTTCACCACACTTAAATTCCAGTTATCTGAAATTATTTTATGACAGGACTATGTGCAGCTTAAGCCGCTTAAGGTCCTGTCACACTGTAACGTTTTAGTCAACTTATGCCAACTTAGGATTTTTCTATGTCTAAATGACTCATTTTACTTGAAGTACTGGTTATAACATCCATTTTATCTTGATATTGTTGAATATTTGAGACACGTTTTTGTTTGTTGTTAAAACCATTTTGAAATACAGTATATAAAAAATATTATTTTGTACTTCTGTTATGTTCTTTTGCACTAAAGCAAAAATGCTGGGTTTGATAAAAAAAAATGCTCTAAATATTACAATATCTTTGCTTTTTATGATAATTTTCTACCGTGATATATACAGTTACCATGAAGGGATTCAATTTTTACCGTGATATGAATTTGAGGTCATACCGCCCAGCCCTAACCCAAACATTGGAAAAATAGCCAGAACATGATGGGTGGTCTTTGCTGGGCCTCCAATAAAGTCTTCCTGTAAAACTCTCACAAGCAAATACAGAAACTCTGTGAATATTTCAAGATTTATTTGGAGACTCTCTTGCAAACGCTGTACTTCAGCTCAGTGAGGTGCTGGCTTAAACACCACATACTTACCTTCAAAATAAAATCACCGCTCTCATCAGCTTCAAACTAAAAGCAAAGACTTGTCAGCTCTAAAACTGTTTTTTGTGGTGGGAGTTCACTGCAACAAAATGTTTATAGTGTTAACTTTATGTGTGACTGAAAACCAACCAGTTAGTAGGAAGTTAAAGTGGTATTTCCCCAGTCAGGTGAGAACACAAAGCAATTTATAAGAAACTGGAAATTTAAATGGTTTGAGAGGAAATCTTCTGTGAGATTTGTTTACCAAAACAGGCATTATCATCTTCAACCAAATCATCCCTAAACACCACATCCCACAACCTGCCTGTTTGTGAGTTTGCTTCTGTAAATGTTAGATGTGTGCGCCAGCCAGCCAGTGTGTCACTGACTTCTCTGTGCTGTCAGGACGTCATTGCTCAGATCTTTCAACAAGTTGTCTAAAAACATCTGTATCATTATATAAGCACGCTGGCAATAAAAGCAAAGTTGTCTTTGACAAGATTCACGATTACGAAAAAAAGATGTGCTCCATCCAAAAGAAATGACTCAGTTAAATAAATATTTCTCTGCTTTAGTGACACACTTTGTGCTTTCCATTCTTGAGCAGTGTTTTGTCTGTACAGCTACATGTACTGGACAGAATGGGGAGGCCGACCTCGTATAGCCAGAGCCTATATGGACGGTACCACCATCACAACCCTGGTGGACAAAGTGGGGCGTGCCAATGGACTGACCATTGATTATGTGGACCATCGAATCTACTGGATCGATCTAGATACTTGTATGATTGAAAGCACCAACATGCAAGGTAGGTTTTTACACTTTAACCACCATCTTCTCCTCCTTCTTTAGGCTGTTCCCTCTTTAGGGGTCTCTACAGCAGGTCATCCATCTTCATCTCACTTTGTCCAACTCCATGTCCTCTCTTACTGCATCAGTATAGCTCGTCTTTGTCTTTTTCCTGGCAGCTGATAACTCATTATTATAGGCTTCCCCTTCCTTGAAGCGTCACTCACCATCTTTTATGTCCAAGTTTTAAACCACGATCATCGAATGTTGACGTTGTTGCTTTGGTCAAAACCTGGTATGCATGATATAATGCATATTGTGACTATCAGCCACTATCAGCCACTTTCACATCAAAGTTCAGCTCAACGTCTGAAAAACTGACTCAGATATATATATAT